TAATGTTTCGTTACGGAGTTATGCATGATCAACGAAAATTTTAAGGGGTGGTCGGAGACTTTTGGTCACCCACTGTACATCAGAATAGGCTTATTGAACTAAGATTTGCAAGCAACGTGAGTCACGTCAAAGACTCCTCAAAATTCGGCAAGATGTCATCAGTACGGTTACGCATGTTTTGCCTATGCTAAGAAAGCCTTATTAGAATTTTTTTTAGTTTATATGTCCATAACGATTTTGTTATGTCTAATTGTCTATTTTAATATACGTATACGATAGCTAAACAAAGCGTAAAAGTATAATTTTAGACAAGCCTGCCCATTGTTGGGCGCCTATTTAAAAGTAGGTGTTACTGTTGCCGATACAAAATTTTATGCTTATATCGTAAAAATACATTGTTGAATGAATAATGGTGAATCTTTGAATATAAATTCAGAGTCTACTCTACGATGCAATCAAAAGCGCTTGTAAGAAAAAGCGGCGATTTCTTATCGATAAAGGTGTTGTAACGTGTACCATAGATTAACATGCTTGTTTAAAGCTAGACATTTACTCTCAAGTAAAGTAAATCGATATATTGATTTCAAAAAGTGAGTGTATGGAAAGTTATTCCATCGAGTGTTGAAACAAACTTTTGAATGTGCCAAGTCCCACAGCACACGCTGTAGTTTCGACTAGACATTTATGGAAACGCATTAGAGATAAATAAGAAAATGTAAGCCGAAACCTTTCTATTTTAAGCAAATCACACAGACGTTGGTGAAACTGATCACCAGATTTTTTATACTATATGTGATCGGCCCGAGTGAAATGCATGTTATGTTGCCTTTCCATCGGATTCTTTTATAAAAAACCACAGCTTTTCTTGTCAATCGTCGATAAGCTAAATTTAACATCGTCTGATCTGGAGGAGTGCCATATTAATATTGGTATTACGGATGATATCATTTTAAAACTCGTGATTGCACATGTACGCAATCATGCATATTATATTGTTTCTAGTAGTTTGTTAATAACCTTTATGGCCGAGACAACACAATTAAACAACGGACTATGCAGTCTTTGTAAGGGTATATTATATTATATTATATTATATTAATTATATATTCCTCTCCCCTTTCTTCTTTTTCTCCCCCCTCTTTCTTTGATCGTGCAACAACAATCTCAAAGTCTAAATTTTTTTTTACCGTTGCATATATATCGTAATCGTAACAGTAATACAAATTTCGTTTATCCAATGATTAATCGTGTTACAAATATAGTACTGTTACCAGTAGAAAATTTGTTCTGCAGGTGGGGATAATTGGAAGACATATAAGTAATTTGTGTTCTGATCAACTCATACATAAATTCCTGTACATTTCTTTATGTGGGTTAGTACCGGCCTATTAATATCAAATATAAATAGAATCAAAATCAGGTGAATAATAGGAACGGAACTAATTATCGCTCTTTTGATTAATTAATTACAAAGTGATACACAAGTAATGGTAATATTCTATTTCTGGATCATCCCATGCTGCGATGCCATGCATGTGGCCCTGGTCAAACTATATATATAATCTAACTGCCCTTCTCCACATATTCTTTGCAGACGTTAACCCCCCCTCCACACACTCTCTTCAAAGAAAAGAAAAATGAAGTACACAATAACAATCCTTTTCGCATTCGTTTATCTGGCTTTGCTTGCAAATGGTATGACAAGTCCTATTCAATGTCGATAACCACCGTTTCTCTGTTTGACCTTGCCAATTCAGTTATTCATCTACTTTTCGTTAATACCATCTCAATTTAACCATCACTCTAGCCGAAATCAAGATTCTTTACCCATCATCAACATACTGGTTAGTAGCGAATACTACAGCGGATGTATTATGGAATTCGACTGACCCGGTTAACGATCCCCAACGTTTCTCTGTATACTTGGTTAATCCTGTAAGTTTCAAAATTGAATGGGTTGTTTGTAACCTTTCAATCTTACAATGAATACACAGCACTGACCAAATGTTCCCCTTTTTTTTCTCTTCAGAACGTTCCTGATTTGAAGCAATACGCCTTGGCTAACAATGCCATAACCGCAAATCACAACGTTTCGGTTACAGTACCAAATTTCGTTACTAGAGACGTACAACAAGGTACGTAGTCTACATAACCTGGTTTATTTACGTTGGGGCCATTTCTGTTTACTCAATTAAACGCATGTTTTTGTATAGGATATTCAATTATCTTTACGAATATTGGCAATATCAGCGAAGTTTATTCTACATCCGAGACATTCGACATAAAACCGGTTGGCAATACACGTGAGCATATTGATACAATCTCCGGAATGCATTACGTATTACGTATTATGACTTACCCAGACTAATGCCCTAATTCTTTCTACAAACTAGCATCGACATACTCACCACCTACCCCGCCAGGCTCTTCTACCAACAACACTGGGAACAGCACCAACACTGGCAAGTCAAGCGATTCAGAAGTTATCAGCGCAAGAGTATATTTGAGTACTTTCTTTGCCGCTGCGGTCGTAGCTGCAATGATGGCCATTTAAAATGAGCAAAAACTTGCTTTTTTTCCTAATTTGTTGTAATCGACATTATATTGGCATTAGAATTGTAAGATTAATATCTAATGGAATGAACCTTAAATAAACTTTATATTTACGTTGATATATTTGGCCTAATTGATGATCAAAGTGCATGAGAAAGAACAGACGCCAAGAAACACTTGGCAACTGTGATATCATAAATTCCTAAGCAGAAATAATTGCACGGTCTTGTGACTTTACACTTGGCGGGGTGATTGCATTTTCCCCAGTTTATGCTTTTCTGTCAATTATTATTAATATTACACATACCAAGGTCATTAAATGAAATTGATGAGCCGACCGAATATTCCAAACTATTACATGATACGAAAAACCTCTTGGTGTCATTAAACAGTATAATGATATAGTTTATATTCGGAAATTTGTCTTACTGAAAATAACATCACATATATATGTTGATTGCGCAATAGTATTACTCAAAAAGACAAAATCACAATATTGACTACTACCAGCTTGGTGAGATTTGCTCGTTGTTGCACTTTGGATGTTTTTTGATTGTCCGTGCTAACAAAAAGACAGTCTGTTTTGATTGGTACCATTATTAGCGTTATTGCTGTTTGTTCAATCACTTTCTGTCGGGAATATCTGCGTGACATTCCGTCATACGATTATTAAATAGTCACACATTTGAGCTACACGACATAATTAATTGCCATAACGTTCATAAAATAATCATGTCATTTATTTTCGAACACAATGTTCAATATAAAGACAATTTAAATTATTTTGTTTATATTACATGACCTAACTATAATAAATTGTCTTTTAATCTGCCACACTTTTTGTTTTAATGGTGTCGATTACACGATTTACCAATGCAAGTAACCGCTTTCATAAGCATAAGCTGTTAATTAATTAGCCAAAAACCACTTTGTAAGTTTATTTCTAGATTTTATACAAATTGATAACAAATACCAAGTCTTAAACACGCATTTGGAAGCTTTCCGCCTATCAGTTAAAAAAATGTAAACAATGTAGCAGTATACGCGCATATATTGTATGCTCAAAAAGCTAATCGAAAAGGGTCCAAGTGAGCCAAACTAGACAAGAATTGGTTAATATTAACCAAATATAATCTAATAACAACCCGTCTGTATCTATCATTGTGTTAGTTTTTTGGAAAAGTTGTTTAGTAAGGTTTTTGGGAACAAAAAAACCCACGCTATTTTGATAGTAATATACGATTACTTATGCTGAAAATAAAAAAAATTACTCTTATACTATGTGTATATTTTTTTTACATTAGAATTTAAAGTTTGACGCAGAAACATGCCCGTAACAAAGTGAGAGAGAGTATCGCACTTTTGACCGTATAAATGTTTATATGGATATTACCTGAATCGCGCCATTTTTCCTGTTAACGCTTTATGGAATAGATTGATCTATTAATAACAAACATCGACATCAGGTGAGAGTATGAAATGGATACCAATGCATTAGGAATAACGCGATATCAATACTTTCTATTTGCGTCCCATGTTGTTTGTACGGAATGCTTGTGAACGCAAGAACCCATATTTCTATAAATTGCATTGCTTTTCCCCCACGACATGTCATACGACAACGACAACGACAACAACGACATAACAACAGCAACGACAACACTTCAAGATGAAATACGGAATAGTCTTTCTCGTCTTTGCTTGTCTATGTTTACTTGCATCTGGTACAGATAAAAACTCTTGACTATGATAGGCCATCGCATCGCTTTATTATATCATGCTCCGTTAATCACATATTACTTTTTTTTTCTTCCTTTTAGCCACAATTGAAATTTTATACCCTTCGTCAACGTATTGGCTGGTGTCTAACAGTACGGCGATTATAATGTGGAACTTGACCGATCCAAGCACTGACCCCGCTCGCTTTTCCATCTTTTTGACTAATTCTGTAAGCAAAAATAACGGTTGGGAAAACAAATCAACAAACGACTAATTTTATTTCTTCTTTCTAGAATATTCCTGATTTGAAACAATATGCCTTGCTCAATAATGCAATAAGCGCAGACCGAAACATTTCGCTCTCTGTACCTGATTTCGTAACCAGAGGCGTCGTTCCCGGTTCGTGTAGTTTTCTTTTGAACCGTTTATGCTCATACAGGACTACGTTTAATAACATTTAACTCTACCGTAGGCTACCAACTCATTTTCACCAACATTTTCGATATCAGTAAAGTCTATGCAGTGTCGGAAGCGTTTGAAATCAGACCAAGTGGCTCTGTTCGTAAGTACTTGCAAACACAATCGTTTTTTTCCGATGACAGAAAAAGTTATGGCTGACGCGATGCATGCGTTATTTTTCCAGAATCAGTATATAAACCTCCCCCACCGCCACAAAGTCCTAACAACAGTACCAATACGACAACTGGGTCTGGTAGCGATAGTTCTGGAAACAATAATAATAATAATCCAAATAGTTCGGGAGTAGTTGGCGTGCAAATATGTTCAACAGTTTTGTTTATTCTTGCGGTTTTGGTACTCGTGATGATGTGATGATCTAGCCCTTTATGATGTAACTTGTAGTATTATTATTATTATTATCATTATCATTTACCCTCGAGCAGCCTTTTTTGTTTCTTGTGAACTTGAGATTAAAGTTTTTTCATGCGAATTTATTACATGGCAGGTTTGGTAATACATTTGTTTAGTATGTGGGCTAATAAAATGAGAGAATAGTAAAATCCGTGTTTGTGAAATGTGTAAACGGCTGTTACTATTTATTTCAGACTTGGTAATGGTATCCCAAATTCCTATCGCTATGGGAAATGTTGAATAATAATAGTATGTCGATCATCATAACACATCCTTGCCTAAATCGGACATCTAAATACCCGACCCGTAGTCATGTTTCCCATCCTCACGCGTTTTTTTTTTAAAACATCGTTCGAACCATGGGCATTCACCACCTTCACAAAGTAATCGCAGATCACGCAGCAAAGGCTATCAACGCAAATGAAATCAAGAGCTATTTTGGTAGAAAAGTGGCTATCGATGCATCAATGTCGATATACCAGTTTTTGATAGCCGTGAGACAGTCAGACGGGCAACAGTTGACAAGTGACACTGGAGAGACGACGAGGTGAAGATTTTAATGGAGATTTGGGCAAGTGGGTGAATGAACTTGTTGGGTGAATGAACGTAACGGGTGTAGTAATTGGAAAAGGAGATTTGAACGGGAGGGCATTTATGAATGCGAAACTGTTGACTTGCTGAATCTGCTTCTTTAATCCTCTAGTCATTTGATGGGAATGTTTTATCGCACGATTCGAATGGTTGAAAATGGAATTAAACCCGTCTATGTGTTTGATGGAAAACCGCCTACACTGAAATCGGGCGAGGTGAATTGGAGAGAGAGGGAGGGGAGGGGAGGGGCATGAATCGGGTTTTTCGTTTTCGTAATTTTACATGGGCATCAGTCGTTGATAACTGGATTTGGTCGCATAGCTTGCCAAGAGATTGGAACGTAGAAAAGAAGCAACCAAGAATCTTGAAGAAGCTCACGAAACCGGTTAGAAAAATGTCTATAATACACTGCAATGCTGGCGGTATTTGGAGAGTTTGAGTTTTTCATATCGTGACTTTGACCTTTTTTAGGCGAAGCGGCTGACATTGACAAATACAGCAGACGCACAGTGAAAGTGACCCCAGAGCATAACGCAGAGTGCAAAAAATTATTGAAACTTATGGGAATTCCATATATAGATGTATGGATTCCGTTTCGTTTGGCTTGTTCCCGATCGCTCACGGAAGAGTCACTCACAACTATTACATTATTTTTATAGGCTCCTTGTGAAGCAGAAGCTCAATGTGCAGCTCTTGCACGAGCGGGAAAGGTCAGCAATACAGCAGTTGACTTGCGTCATGTTTTTCCCAGTAACTATACTCACTTCTGTATTCTCGTAGGTCTTTGCGGCTGCATCAGAAGATATGGACACTCTCACATTTAACGCTCCAATACTTCTTCGTCACTTGACATTTACCGAGAGTAGAAAGATGCCCATTGATGAGATACATCTTGATAAAGCACTAGAAGGGCTAGAACTGAACATGGACGAAGTGAGTGGGGGAAATGCATTAATTGTCTAATGAATAGTATCTTGTGAAGGGGGGAATAACGCTGGAATCTTTATTTATTTATTTCAACTGACGTTAATTCATTGCCTTTTATGCTGTGTTTATATAGTTTATAGACCTCTGTATTCTATTGGGATGTGATTATTGTGAGTCAATCAAAGGCATCGGACCACATCGTGCTTACGAGTTGATCAAGAAACACAGAAATCTCGAAACGGTTATTAAAGAACTCGATCCCAAGAGATATCCCATTCCCGATGATTGGCGTTACAAGGAAGCACGAGAGCTGTTTCGTAATCCGGATGTTGTTGATCCGACAACCGTCGAAGTATGTAAAGTGGGGGGAGGGATGGAGCAGGGATGTATGGGGACTGACTAACAAAACTACCTGTATGGTTTATCAAACTATCAATAGATAAAATGGAACACCCCAGACGTAGATGCTGTTGTTGATTTCCTTGTACGTGAAAAAGCATTCAGGTATGATAGTAAGGTCGAAAGATACTCTGTAAGCGCCGTGTGGTACAGATTTCTCTGACACTTTTCTTGCATTTTCCAGTGAAGAGCGTGTCCGCAAGGGACTGGATAAAATAACAAAGAATATTAAAGCTGCGACGCAAGTACGCTTGGACAGTTTCTTTACTGCTGCTCCCGCCAAAGATACACCTAAAAAGCGAAAGGTATGAGAAGAATATTGATCTACAGTGGCTGGCTGTTATCCCGTATCCCACACATGCATATGCCTGACGATTGATGGTACCGTGATTGTTCGTACTCGCGTACGTATGTTTTTGTTTAAATGTTTCTAGGCAGAAGAAACAGCAGCCAGTAAAAGTAACGGAAAAACTAGCAAAAAACGACGATCATCTAACAAGTAGGAAGACGCAAGTAGGTGTGATATAATAGTATACGCTTAATGTTGGAAATAGAAAGTGATTTCTTCATGCCAAGAAGAGAGATAATGATAGTGTGTATAGACACTTTGTAATGTCAAGAGGCTTTACTTTGAAAGAACGTGTGTCAACTTGTAATAAATCAAGCACTAATACGTAACAAGCAGTCGCGCGCGCTGATAAGTGTAACACAGGTTCTCACTCATATGCTAAATGGGTGATTTCAGTTAAATGCAAGAGAGTGACATAAGTGTCGGTTGCTGGATGGTAAATTGATGAATCAAAAGCCATTTTTCTGACGTCATTGTCTACGCGAGACACCAACTCATCAAAGGCTCTGATTTCTTTTGTGCTGCGTTTTATAATTGGCATTCTTATTGTTATCCAATGCAGTACAAAGAGTTAATTGTTTCGAAATGACGTAAGGCAATTATTATCGTATTGTTGCCAATATGTGTATATATTGAACAATGAATATAATGTACCACCAATGCAATGCCATTTGAATTGATCGTCTAAATTTAAAACACAATACACGCGTTCTAATGTAATCGGAACGAATACATTGAGGTATTAAGAACCTATACTACGCACACGTTCTAATGCAATCGACGTATGAATAAACCGTAAAAACAATTACACGAGCCTTTGTCTCCTGTAAAGATCATGTGAGACATGCCAAACTTATAAAAACGATCACTGTTCGATCGGAATGTCGCGACAAAACCTTTTAATCATGAAATACATCAGAGTCGTCTATTCCAAACTCATTGCACCATTCCTGCACCCAACAAAAATACGCTCAAAATCATGTAGCGACATACGCCGACTCTCAAAAACACCGACGGTCGCATCATCCATTTCCTCGTTCAATTACACCACGATATCGTACTCGCCATTCATCTCGCTTCGGATCCACGTCTACTCTTATCCGCGCACTCTGACGTTATCCATATCACGGCACTGTCGATACTCGGATTTCAAGCAATTACTGAGCGAACTGGTGGCCGGGCGCAAGGACCAATTGCTCGTGGCGTACAGAAAAAAAAAGGGTCGCGAAGTCGGAGTCGACAAGGATTTCGCAGTGTTGAAGGAAATATTGAACAACGAGGTTATCCTGATAACCGAAGATGGCGTGTGGAGAGAGTTGATGGTGAGAGAGTTGAGAGAGTGTGACGAGGCGGAAGTCACTGTATTGTTTGTTAATGGACCGAATGTATGATAGAAAAAATGTCGTTTTGCGCGAGTTTATACGTTTTTGCTTGTATTAATTATTATTAACATGAAATCATTACATTATTTATTATTAATACGTTGTATAGTTGTTGTTTTTTTTTTACATGTGAAATACATTAATTAAAAAAAAAAAGGCGAATAATTTTTTAATCGAACATGTAAAATGATCTAATTTCGTAGTATTCTGTATGTCATTAACTTTCCGGATGCGTGTGCTCAGATAACTGCACTCACCGCACGTGTATGCACTTGCATTTATTATTACAATAAATTTTTTTTTTTTCGTGACCGAGTAATCAAGCATTAAATATTACATGTACAACACACTATAAGTCATAAATCCATCTGCAATTGATAAAACAGTATCAATATTTTCAGCTCTGAAATTTCTTTTTTTACATTCGAATCAATTCACTTTTTTTTTTCTTAATACCTGCAGTTGAATTCTCCTCATCAATAGGTAGTAATTTGCTAGAATATTTGGTTTCCTTCTCACTAGTCGACATGGGCTCTATGTTCTCATTACGATATACAGTGTTCAACCAAGTCACATCTTCATGATACAGTTCAAGCGTCTCGGCATCTGGACGCTTGTTAGGATTCGAATCGCAACACTGCTTAGCAAGCTTCTTGAACGATTCTGGTGTCTCGTCGGGCATCGTCGGTCGCAATCCCCCGACTATATCAGATACCAAATCTCTATCGAACGCTCTGTCTCTGAAAGGCGGCTCACCACTAGCAATCTGATACATGAGAATACCGAAAGAATAGATGTCTGATTTCTGTGTGAATTCCAGCGTATGAAAGACTTCGGGTGCAACGTACGGTAAAACACCTCGAATGGTTGACGGGTTCGATTTGGATGAGCCCAACGGCTTGGAGAGTGCAATGTCACATAAAAACGGCTTGTTCACGTTTGTGTAGTATGAATGTTCCGTGCCGCCAATGACAACGTTTCCGCCGTGAAGATTGCTATGGACGAGTTTGTGCCTGTGGATGATTGACAAGTGCGCGGCAATGTCATCCAATATCTTTACTTTTGTGCCCCATGTCAGCGAATTAAAGTTGCGTTCCAAATATGAATAAAGATTACCACAATCGGCGTGCTGCATTACAAGCAGATACTCTTTGGTTTCTGGTCGTTGTGTAATTCCATGTATTTTGAGCATCGAGCGTGTAAACCTGGTAAAATTACTAGGCTGAAATATATGTAAATGAGAAAAATTAGACAATCAGATTGCCAAAGAGATTTAGTTGTTAATATCGAGAGCGCAGCATGCGCGCTGGCTTTACCTCAAATCTCAACAATTCTACCAAATGTTCAGAGTTTTTAAACCATTTCAAGGCAACTCGTTTATTATTCAACGCGCTGCATTCGGCAGTATAGACTGTCCCGTAACCACCAGACCCAATCTCCTCGACATTGCAAAAATCTTCAAATCGGATAAATTTCAGTCTCACTTTACTATCTTCATCCGAATTCTTGACTCGAACCACGTGTTTTAAAATCGGATCAACATCACGATAGAATACCAAATAATAGTCTTGCGTGGACGTTTCTTGAGTTATACCGACGATCCAAATATTATTTGGGGTTATTATCTTTGGGTAGGTTTTGGCTAGCTAATTTGAGCGAGGCGGATTTGTTAAGAGACGATAGTTCGAAACATTATAAAAATCCCTGTTCTACCCTGCCCTGCCCTGCCCTGCCCTGCCCTGTCCAGTCTTGGCTTACCTGATAAAAATCAAACGACTGGGCTTTCCGCCCATCCGCAATCTTTTTTAATATCACTGCCGTCGTCAGCTTGCTTCCGTTCGCCTGTTGTAACCAATCCGCTACATGCGTACAGCCCTGATCTAACGACACCGCCTCTTGTAGGTTTGTCAACTGAGAGTATTCGATCCACTGTATGTATCCGCTAGCAATATGTTCCATGTCATTCCACGATTCCATGATAAACAAGTTCAGAGACTTGTTGCCCGTCGTCCAATCAAGGGGGTGCGGTGCTTTGCATCTGTAACAGAATGCACTCAATATAAGCTTATTCGTACATCCCAGACATAGTTCGCAATAAGATTCCGAGGTGTCTTTACTTTTAATCAGATAATACGTCTGCTCTTCTGCATTATATGTAAATCCAATGGACATCCAAACGTTAGAGTCGAGTATATCTGGATGGTCGACACATAACTAAGAAGTGGAGGAGGTGTTGAAGGTAGGGGGGGGTAGGGGGTGGTGAGCGATCACGGTACGGTACACGGGTCTACAATTTCAACTAGTTGAGGGCACAAGTGCAACAAAACAACCATATTGCTTGTACCTTTTCATAGTATGAATCGTCGGTTTTATCAGAAATCTCGAGTGGGATCAATTTCACGTCCGCATAGGTCGGTAAACCATGTAACCTTACAGTCTCGGTACCAACCTCGATACAATCGAATGGAATCCATTCCAAGTAGGCCTCGCTTGCCGATTTCGTTTGCGTCTGCGACTGCTTAATAAACTGATCCAGCTTATGATTATGACTAGTCCAGCCGTTTGACAATTCCTTGTGACCGCAAATACACCACACGGGGCTACATCTGAGCACTCCACACGCGGAGCAAAACCCGTATAGAGAAGAGCAATGACGAAACCGTTTATCAGCTATCATGTAATAGTTATCGCTATCCTTGGTGAATCCTATTATCATCCGGTTACGTCTGTCGAGCCATTTGGAATGTCTTTTGAATTGATGAATGTGGGATATGTATTTGTGCGTTGGAAGTGAGTACATCCCGGCAAATTTCTTGACAAATTCTTGCGTGCATTCATTATCTGTTCCAATGAATATCGAATAACGATTGTAGGTTGTCCGATGTTTAAAGGATTTGATTGGTTTTATATGTGAAAAGTCTGCATACGAGATCCATTGAAGAGGATGATGTCCCGCTACCAAATCCTCCTCGTCATGAATGTGAGAAGACTCTATCAGTCGGCTAAATGGCGAGTTTTCAACACTGTTCTCATTAATTATTAAGCCTTTAATGGTCGATACCAATGATTTGAAAAACGACATTCCTTTTGCGCGTGATATGTTTCAAGAAGAAGAAGAGGAAAGATGTCTAGTATGTTGCGCCACACGCCACAGGTCTTGGCATGAGCATGCATAGTGTCAGTCGTCCAATAACCATCCAGAATTTATGCACTGGTATATCATTGATGTGCACTGTTTGAAACATTATGATGAAACTTGTTATGTGAAGAAGAGTGCGGCAGGGATGAGAGAGACAATTGAAGATTTCGCAATGGCGAGAGAATGGGCTCGTATGAGTAATGGATATGATATGAACAATGGAATAAGAAAGTGTAACATCTTTTTGATTCATGCACAAAATTGGTCGATGATGTGAAAGATAAGGGGTGGGATTCGGTGACACGGGGAAATGAGTGTGTCAAAAAAAACCGGAAATTGTATACTATACAGGGGTTGGGATGTTCATGTAAATTGTATCGAGTATTGTGTGTTATATTTACTACCCAAAGCATACGACTAACATATGATTTATGTAATGGAATTTTTATTTCAGAATGTCTATGAAGAGACCCTGTAAGCTAGAATTAGAAATTTACGTGATCGAATTCTTTAATCATAGCCACGCATAAATGAAAACTACGTGTTTCAAACGTTTAAATGATTTACTATTGCAGCATCTCGTAAGTGCAGAAATGAGCCAGTTTAATTTGTCAGACCCTTTTCTTTGCATCACTCACTCCGGTTTTCGAACGCCAAATTTCTGCATAAGATTTCTTTGGACATTTACAAGTTCACCTTGCTAGACCCAGAAAAAGGCTTGTCAACAACACTCGTTTCCCGTCTTAACGAAAATACGTCCAAAGTCATGGCTTAATCCAACGGCCCTAGCTTAACTTTACTGAAAATCTGCTTGAATTATCGCGTAGAGTAAACGGATACCCAGAATTCATTGAGGTAAAGAAATGAAGGAGTATTTCAGATACCGCTATCACAAATTGCATGAGCTCGATGAGACGTTGTTACAGACTTGTTATCAAAAATAGTAGAAGGCGAGTTTTTTATTAGTTATTATTAATAACCTACAACTATGACGTAGTGAGTAAACTTTATTTTTTATGAATTCGATAGAAATCTTCGAAACTAGTCGTTGTTGGACGTATAAGAAATAAAGTAGAGAATATAAGTACAAAAGTCGTCTTGTTTGGTCAGTGTTACTTTAATAAACTGTCTCTTAACTATGAAACGCTTATTCGATGAGTCATTGCCAAGTAACGTGACACCATTAAGATTAAGCTGTAAACGCACGATTAAATTGTACTTATTCATCGATTGAAAAGTTGGCAAACAGCACATTTCTCATTTAGACTTAATGACACAATACAACAAACGTTGCTATCTAACTTTATTAATACAATGAATGTTTATTTGCTTTCTATAAACTTACAGAGAATTTATGACAAGATGAATAGATGGCTAATTATGTTGTATTAGCCGTTAAAATACATTAGAAAACAAAAGACACAACCTTGTCAAAACTATAATGGCACACTAACAAACATTGTTTAATGTAACACGTCTGCTGATGTATAAAATTGAGCCTTACATTAGGAAATTAATCTTCCCACGCTTTAATGACAACGAGTTTTGTGTTCACGTTTATTTCGTAACACGTGTTTCAATTGCGCATAACAATACACGCTATTGTCAAGTGACTTTTTCGCTTGGCTGATCATGCTAGATATTTATAGCTGTTGCTTCTATAATTGGTGCACGACTGCTGCGGCTAGATTAAAAACAACACTATTTACGTCGAGTCATTTATGCTTAAGCTAAAAATAGCAAAAACTAAATCACGCTTACTATATTCTTATAAAACGCATTATGTCATTGTCAGATTTATATCCGCATCATAACGTGAGTACGCTCTGAATTTTTATTGGTTCGACGACAATATATAAGATTCACAACCGACGGTTTTGACTTGGATATCATCAATTACAAATTCCCAATTCTTTTCTACCCTTGCAAAAAAACCATTCTCTTATACCGTATCCCTTCCAAATTTTTTACTGGCTCGATATACACACTTTTACGACAACCACAACTGACAATTTTCAACTTTACGTTGTCAATTAAACATACCAACTCTTTCAATTCGATAAAACACCAATTCTTTTTTCCCGAAATACATAATGACAGACGTAACCACCATACTACAAAACCCCGTTCCTCTTTACCTACTCGGAGTCATCCCAGCTCTCTTTGTGGTTGGAGACGCACCATTTTCTACTCTCACCTCTAAAATCCTGCACATTCTGGTGTGCCTCGGCTGTCCATTCACGCCCCTGTTTTACTTTCTCCACGTTAAAACCGGTGCAAATGAAGGTGGCGATGCAATCCCTGACTGTTGCGCATACTGGCTGCCAAAAGACAAATTTCAATTTCATGTTCCAAATCGTCCGGAAAACAACATTGTGAATATGTGGCCATTCGGATACAAGATTAAAAAACTTGACTTTACAAATATTCCCAATATTAAAACACGCCTCGTGGAATGCGTGACAAACGTATCTTTTCTGGACCGATTCGTCTGCTTTGTATCTGGCTACTTTGTTTTTGTTGGTTTTATTATCGGAATATACAGAGCTGTCGGACCATGCCAACAACAAGACTGGCCAGCTATACCATTGTTACTAGTCTGGACATTGCCCATATTAGTGATAAGAGTTTGCAAGGGAAAAGTAGTGGTCAGAGATCCCAGAGAAGCGTTAAAATTAGTGGAGGGAAATATTCGCGTAGAACGCCTTGCCGAGGACAAAACCCGAGATATTAGGGGAAAAGTTTTGGCTACACTGCTAATAAGCATTGTCATTCATTGGTTAACGGTGGTTCTCACCTATTATACAAAGCCAGTGGGATTCGGGTGTCGTTCAATAGGACTATCTGTAGTGGCTGGTATTTGGAGTTTCAACAGCATCTTATGCTTTGTGTATTATTATCTGTTCAATCACTCTCCACCAGGAGTGGATACCAGTCCCGTTTATCTTTGGGTATGCACCTGTGGAGTGGCAGTTGGTGCCTTTTTCATTTTCTTTAGCGTAATTAGCAATAACTCACTTTGGTGGGTGATTATGTTTGGAAATTCGTGTGACGTTTCGTCCTGTTTGAATAGTGATAATGCACAGGAATAACTATACTTGTATAGTCATTAGGCTGGTCCAATTGACATAACCGTTGCATTTCTTTTATGTATGAGGACAATAGTGTTTGATTGTAGTCCATTAAGATTGATTTTAAAGTAAGTTTTGTAGAAATAAATTTTGTAGACAGACTTTTTTGTTTGTTTATTTTTTCTAAAAAATAAATATTGTATAACTTATTTACATCAGAAATTTAATAACAAGTTGATAACTATGATAATTAATTACATGTGCTTTTGTGCTTGCTTTTACTATTAAGTAGTTTATGAACCATTCTATAGACCCTAAATGTTTAGTTTCATAAAAGTCTTTTTTTTTTTTAAGACCTTGCATAACCAGCTTAAAGTGTAGTCGTAGTAACATTATTTAGTATTTCATATGTCGTGCTATTTGAGCATTTCATACACTTTTTCTTTCATGCTCAAAGCATACGCGTCATTTGGCTCAAACTCCAATGACTTGTTGAAATCTGTCAACGCGTTTTCATACTCTCCAAGATTAAAATAGACACTACCCCGTATTCTCAACGCGCGTGCATTACGTGGCTTTATTGCCAATGATTTGTTGAGATCATTTAACGAGTTGTCATATTGTTCTAGATCCAAATAGACATTTCCTCTTACAGTCAATGCCTGAGTATTATTGTGATCAATCTCTAGTGATTTATTTAGATCGATTAACGCATCATCATACTGTTTGAGCATGCAATAAGTCCCACCTCTACACTTTAATGCATCTACATAATCCGGGTCAATCTCCAATGCCTTGTTAACATCATTCAATGCATCATCATACCGTTCAAGCACGCCATAAATGTTAGCTCTCAAACTCAACGCCCATACATCGTTTGGTTCGATATCCAACGATTTGCCAAGATCACTGAGCGAATCGTCGTATCGTTTTAGACATCGATAGACATCTCCTCTTTCGCTCAATGCCCATGAATTATTCGGTTCAATCTTCAACGATTCGTCAAGATCACTCAGTGAATCATCATATCGTTTTAAAGCTCGATAGACAGCACCCCTTCTTCTCAATGCCCATGCATCGTTTGGTTCGATCTCTAGCGATTTGTCAAGATCATTCAGTGAGTGGTCGTATCGTTTTAGACATCGATAGATATCTCCCCGTTCCCTCAACGCCCATGCACTATTTGGTTCAATCTTCAACGATTCGTCAAGATCGCTCAGTGAAATGTGATATTGTTTTAAACATCGATAAACTGCTCCCCTTCTTCTCAATGCCCATGCATCATTCGGTGCAAGCTCCAACGATTTGTTGAGATCGTTCAATGCCCGGCCGTATTGTTCTAGACATCGATAGACATCACCTCGTTCTCTTAATGTCCATGCATCATTTGGCTCAATCTCCAACGACTTGTCAAGATCTCTTAATGAATTGCCGTATTGTTTTCGGCATTTATAAACAGCTCCCCTGTTTCTCAATGCCCATGCATCATTCGGTTCGATTTTCAATGATTCGTTAAAATCATTCAGTGACTGGTCGTATTGTTCTAGACATCGATAGACATCTCCCCGTTCCCTCAACGTCCGTGCGTTGTTTGGCTCGATCTCTAACGATTTGTTAAGGTCATTCAGTGAATCGTCGTATTGTTTTAAATGTCGATAGACGTCTCCCCGTTTCCTCAATGCCCATGCGTTATTTGGTTCGATCTCCATCGATTTGTTAAGATCATTCAGTGAATCGACGTATTGTTCTAGGCATCGGTAGACAGCTCCCCTTCTTCTCAATGCCCATGCATCATTAGGTTCAATCTCCAGCGATTTGTTAAGATCTTTCAGTGAATCGTCGTATTGTTTTAAATGTCGGTAGACGGCTCCTCTTATTTTTAACGCCCATGCATCATTCGGTTTGATCTCCAACGATTCGTCAAGATCTCTCAGTGCATGAGCGTATTGTTCTAGACGCGAATAGACGTCCTTTCGTTCCCTCAATGTCCGTGCGTTGCTTTGTTTGATAGCCAACAATTTGTTAAGATCGTGCTCCAACTTTATATAAATAGTGTTGCAAGATGGCCGTTTATTAACGTCTTCGTGCCAACATTCTGAATACAAATTAATGTATTCTTCAGGCGTTCCAGGAAAGGGAGGATCGCGAGAGCCATTAAACCGATACAGAATAATTTCAACAGTTTTAGTACGCCCTTCACATGGGACCTTTCCACTAGATATTTCCCATAGTATTACTCCAAGGCTAAATATATCTGATTGTTTTCCACGACGATATGGCGCTTCCGTCATTGATGCCGGATCCCTATATGCTGGAGTGCCATCCCCATGCGATTTGGACATTATTTCTTTTAACACACTAGATAATCCGAAATCAGTTATCTTTGCGACACCTGATTTTATAAGAATGTTACTAGAAGACTAGATACAGCAACATAGGTGATCAGTTCAAACTTTATCGACTGTCAAATTCAATAAACAGTAAATGTAATAAATTACCATGTCTTTGTGAATAATGTCAAGCTTGTGTAGATGGTTTAATCCGCTGGTAATTTCTAACCCAAGCTTGTATTTGTCTTTCCAAGTTAAATCGTTGAAGTGCTTTTTCAGGTGTTCACGCAAACTTCCACCGTCAGCTAGCTCGAATATCATGTGATAATTATCATACTTGTCTATATACGGTTAGCAGTTAGAGTAAAATTAGAAGTCATTTTACATTAAGCCAACATGATTGACGTTATTAACATGCCTTTGTAAAGCCCTAAAAAAAGAATAATGTTGGGATGATTGTTTGCTTCCTGGTGGTGTTTTAACTAGCATAAAGTGCAAAATTAGACCATATGCAAACATGACGCAAGCAAGTACAGTATGAACGAAAGATAAGAACCTCTTTGACAAATCGTTGATGCAAATCTTCCTCACAATCTCCATACTTATCCTGGAACAAAGTCTTCACCGCAACGGTCATGCCGGAGAGAATATTGTGCTTTTTGCCTAATATTGTCTTAATAAGTTTCCCAACACAGTTTCTCCGCTTTATTGTTGCCTTATACACTATTCCAAATGCACCATAACCAATAGGTATCGGGTCTAGTTTTACGTCACTTTCCGGACAGCAATATATTGATTCTCTTTGAATGTTTGTCTCGAGCCATTCTTTGCTATCAGATATCTGAGACATGGTTAGCGATGAGCAAGGCTCCGACAAAAATGTAACACAGAGTATGTATTAGCCACTGGTGTGACACTGAATTTAACATCGCACTGAAAAAAGTATCGTCCTGCTTTGCACGCTTTCGCATCCGCAAACTGTGTGACTTTCCGAAATTCGCTGTAGTGGGTTTGGAAATTCATGTGACGTTTCATCTAGTGATAGTTCACAGTATCTTACATATCAATTATAAAAATGTCTTGGCATATTGTATTACATTTCCGAGGGTATATGAACCGCTTAATATTGTAAGCAAAATAGCACATGTAATTAATGCTTTCATTCTACTTCATTATATTCCTATTTATACAATTTTTATTTCTGCGAAAACCAGACATAAATTTAGGCAGCCTTTTTGATTGTATAAAACTTTCAAACACAATTATCCTCATGCATAAAGAGATGTAATGGTTATGCCAATTGGACCAGCCTAATGACTATACAATTATAGTCATTCCTGTACCTTTTTTACATACAACAATCGATTAAAATTGTATAACAACAACAAAACAAACGAGTTTTACAACGATGATGAGCGAGACTTTTCTTTCCACAAGAAAATTTTACAAAAATGATCTAACGAGTACAGCTGTTTGACTGACGGTGTAGATAGAGAAATAGTGAATATAATAACAACAATACACTAGTTAGCGAACGCAAAATTTGAGTGACATGCGTTTACCATTTTTTCCCGTATAAATAAACAGCGGCTCCACGAGATGAACAGCAGTTTTGACGGCTAACACGAATAGCGAATCGCGATAGTCATATTGTGATGTAATACGGGTACTGAAAAATCGTCGTTCACATTTCCTAGAATGTATATTAAGTGGTTACAAAAGAAGTAACCTGAATTAATAAAAATAAAAATAAAAATCAGCTCATACTCGATATGTTAATCAATCAACATGCTACGACCAAAATGGTTAAAAAAACCGGGGACTCGACTACAATAGCTAAATTTGTAAGCTTCCCACGAGCTGATTAGAAATGTCATCAGTTTACATTCATTATAACATTCCAGAACAATAAAACAAAAAGTTAAGGTGGCTTGTAATTTCATACCAGCAGGTGAAATCCGAATGTTCGTCAAACTAGGTGGTAGGATATTTGTGCGAGACGAATTGTACCCTTGACTGGAAACGAATTAATGAGGTACATCAAGGCAAGGTTGTATCTGTTGATGGCTATACACGTTTCGTCAACTTTCGATCAACAAGTGTTTTTATTATTAATATATAATTGCTCCTTAATAGAACCAATTTCCGGTAAGTGACTGTTTCAAGACTTCTTAGTCATTATAAAATCATTACCCACAGCTATGTCATATTGAATATTTTGCAGGTAACCTCTGGGTCGTTTAATGTAACGGAACCAGATTTGCATCTATCTGAGAATAAAATTTTCGTCTGTCACTCAGTAAATTGAATGGTTTTAACCCGAAAGAGCGATCAACTCCTTACATATTAGTGTGTTTACGTTTGTAGTATCTGAAGCCACAAAATATCAAGTGCGACGATTATTAAAGCGAGCGTAAAAAAATTCGCAGTCAATGATATTTGAATCAAATAGCGCTTATCGTAATTATGAAACTGTGCACCGCACCCTTCTGATATATTTTGAAAAGTAGATAAGGACAACAGACCCCGCATAGCGTTGTTGGGAAACACTACGAAACCACTATTGGTTTGACTCACCTTTTGTCCCTGACAGATACGTAATAATTTTTATTTTGTCTCAACAGGCGCAATCGCCTCCAGACAGTAATCCACCATACAACAGCCGCCTTATTCTACGTCATCGAATATTCA